ACGTGCAAATCAAAAATTAATTCAACCAAACCGAATCGGATTTCAACACATTTGTATCAAGGCAGTAGTAATAATTAACAGTACATTTAATAATTTACATATTCAAAGAGAAAAACGATTTATTGCGTAATTCCCCTTGCGTAAATCATCCAAAGAAGTTCAAATTATTCCTGAATAGTGATTTAACAGCCATGAATAAAGCAAATTACAGTTTTATGATGCCTGTAAGAATTAAAAAAAGACTATGGACAAACCTATTATTTACCGCTATTAACTGCTATTTGTAGTAGTCGTAGTTCCTTTCACTTTGTTAACTCGATCTTTCTTCTGTAAGGTTTTCAGATAGGACGCCTCGAGATGGACATTTTTTGTGAAGGTTTTACTGCTTGTGGTACCGTTGACCGACGATGAACATTTAAATGAACACACCTTTAATGGTATATTAATTTAATGTAACAGATAATTGGCCTATCGAAAAAACAATGTTATTATTGGTAAATGCAAATTGAATAATAATAATGAAGGGAATTAAACACGGATGCGATTGCACGATCCGTTTAAATATATAGTTTGTCTTTGCTTTTTTGAACCTGACCAATTAAGTTTGTTGTTTTTTTTGTGTAAATTGTAAATACACCTGTGTAAGCAAAGTTTTAACAAATATTGACCAACAAAGTACTAGATCAAGATGCAAAAATATCCGGCATTGCTTTAGAAATTACTGGCTTTATAAGAAAATAAATTAATCATTATTCTCCAACTTTTCACGCATTTCAATTGTTAAAAGCTGGGAAACGATCTGCAATATTTGTGTTTATTGTATTTTCAAGACTCTGAGTCGTTGACTCATATTTTGAGATCCGGTTGAGATGCAAAGCTTCAATCGTCATTGCGGGATATAGCTTTAAATCGTGCCGTTTCTTATACCAAACATAATTTCAGAAATGTTTCTAATTTTTCACTAGTTCATTGACTACAGGTCAAATTAAACTCCTTCACGGTCGAATATAAACTTTGTGGATATGTAACTTATTTTTCGTTAGTTTTCTAAGAAAGATAACCGAAAAGCACCGAAATAAGCAAAACTAATCTGATAAAAATTAGGCGTATTCGCTCACTATAGTCTAGCTAAGACTTAAAATTTATTTTAATATAGACTAATTAAATTTATTAAATGTTGACATTTCTGGGTTTCCTGTGAAGTATCAAAGCGCACATTTGTCTCAATGGAGAATAAGTACAGAACAAGATAAAATGTCTGAAATTTAAATTCAGAATTTGGCAATATACTTCAGACTCAAAAGTTATACAAGGGATAAAGAAAAGGTTCAGTTTCTCATTCAATGGAAATTAACCCTCGTAATTTAAATACACGTGACTTGTGCAATCGGCTATATTCCCTATCATGCCAAGAAGTGAAACCAACAACAATTGCCATAAAAATCCCCCTGTCTTTGTATTCCATGTTCGGTATACCAAAGGTGGTTAGAAAATATTAAAAGAATAATATGGAGGTATGATAAACAATTAATGATACTTGACGTCACATACGGATAATAGAAAAACGAATTATTCATGTTGTTAAGTGTTCAAAAATATTGATGCTCGATAAAACTGAGTCATAGTTAGTTTTTATTTTAAATAGGTTCTAAAATGGACCATTAATTAATAACGTTTACCTATTTGGTCTTTTGGATTCAGATTACAAAAAATAAATTTTTATATTTTATTCATCCGCATATGTTCAATTAGTTTTTAGCTTTGCTGACGCATAACGGTAAAAATTGTTTAAAATTGCACAAGAATAGAACAAAATGGCAGAAAAAATGGCGCTTGCGAATAAGAACATAACAATTTACTAACAATGTAGAAAATGAGGTGTAGACAATGAATAAAATGAAATAACAAATCGTGTATTAAAATGTGTAATTTTTAATTTAAACAGATTGTGACCTCAATCGAAATTAAACATGATTTGTTAATTCAATTTAGTAACAGTTTATGCATAAAACTAGTAATAATTTAAACAACACMTTTACAGGACTAGCAAGTTGAAGAAGATGTGTTTTCCTATTCSAGAAAGTTTCACTTATCCAGTTACTTTCAGACACAACGTCTTACTTACTGTAAACAATTGCTTTTGAAAATAAAGTTTATCGATTTTTTGCTTTTCTGAGCTGAAGTTCTTATCTCAATAATTTTCTTATAAACTGCCCCCGATAAGAACGATGATAGCAATCTCATTAACTCGGAGCCAATTAACAGTGAAAAATTATTTGCGGAATTTAGGGTATTTCGCTCTATGAACCGAGACCTAATTTTAAAATATTTAGGAGAAATCTTTCAACTAAGGACAGCTTATTAAATAAAGCAAACCCTTGTTTGAAGGTTAATTAAGGGATATCTGGTGTATTTAGGAGCTGGTTCAAAAGAAGGAAAATGTCAAGTTATTTATAAGTCAGTAATTATGAACAGGTATCTTTTGTCTCTTAAAGGTTAAATCATTTCAAGTACTTCAAAGTACGAAACTAATTAGAACTCGACCGTTTCATAATATGAATAATTAAAAATCGTTCAACAAGCAATTGCCTATAGTCAAGGGAGAAGAAAAACGAATAGTTAATACTAACTATGCCTCAAAGAGTTACATATTATTCTAATATGCCACCAAGCTCTAGTTAAAATTGGGAAATTGCTTTAATCGTCCACATTAGGGGAGTAGCTCTGTCTCAGTAACTTATGAGCGTGCTTCCTGTAAGTAGCACGTAGTTTGGCAAAAATGAGGTTTCGGCCTGCTTAATTAATGATGTTGCTCAAATAACACAGAATTTAGCTTATTTTGACAAACTTTGACTCAAAGCGCAAAGCTAAACTTCGAGTCGAACTAGATAAGCTTCTTTTAAGCTGAACTTACATCGTCTCTTCGCCGTTGTCCATTCACTGCAAGATGTAGGCTTCCCTCAAAGTTTTCCATTTTCACTTGTCATTCGCTTCTCCCATCCAGATTTTACCCGCTATGGTTCGGTCCATCTCTTGGAGGGTTGTCCCACTGACCATTTTGTTAGGCGTGGTCTCCAGCATAATAGTACTTTTGCCCATCTCTCGTCTAGGTGTCTAGCTAGGCGTCCGCCCAAGACTACTTACAACTAGATATCTCCTCGACGATGTAAGGGACTCCTGTTTTTCGCAGGATATATATCCTCTTTTCTGATGCATTATGCAGTATCAACGGTTGATTCCCATCATGGCTGGCATAGTTCTCTCACTCACTCAAAGTATGTTTGCACTTCGCACTGTCATCGTCTCCAAGCCGTATGCCATGACCAGGGCTTTACGCATATATCAAAGACGTCTCTGTTTAAGCAGTTCGGAATTTTCCTTTTGAATGTATAATTGAGTCTACCGAAAGCTGCACAACCGAGTTTGATTTTTCTCGAAATCTCAGCTGTTTGATTTTGTTCTCAATCTGCTTAATTAACATTGCGCAAATACTTCTTGCTTCGTAATTATTTAAAACTCCGGTAACCATGGCATTATACAGACTGACAATAAGATAGACAAGGATAAATGGTAAATTCAACAAGATTTGATAGTTGACAAGGTTGACGAAATGTCAACCTGTTCTCATAACCTTGAATATCGGTGTTTAAACGCAAACCATACAACACCAAACATTTGAATGGATAACTCCAAACAAGCTAGTGCCTGTGTAATCTC